CCTTATTTTTGTTGTTATTATTTTACTGAAAACTGAGTTTGGGAGCCCAGCTGAACTCTACCTATATTTTAACAGTCAACTAACTGCAAGGTGCCCTCAAAATCTGAAATTATAAATGACCTAATTCCAGTAGTTGAAACATTTCTGTTAGTGATTTCCCCCACTCTTCAGATACAGGAAGAAACATCAAACAATGCAAACAACATGGTAGAACCCGCAAGATGCTTTTTTGGGTGAGCGTCTATTGGAGGTGAAGAAAAAGTCAAGGAAAAATCAGTTGTTATGACAGATGATTAATAGTTCAAAGTTTTGCTAGCTTTTCCATGCAGAACAGACCCAAGATGAAGGATATGAAATAGAACAGATATCTTCAATTACCGCGTCCACACCCTCTTTGGGATCCCAAAGCAAACCTTTGCAAGGTGAAAGGGCATTGCAAGCCCCAGGCTCTCACTGAACCCCTGAACATTTGGATGGCTCCGGGTGTTTAAAATAGAAGCACCTGGATTCTGTTTGATAATTATGCCCCTCTCTTAGCTGTAAGCAAAGGCCTTGGGATAAAAAGGAAGGCATATGCCATGAGGTGTAGCTGAACCATCAACCCTGACTAGTCATGTGACCCCTGGGCAGTCCTTAGCCTCAGTTCTCATGTCTACACAATGGAGCCTCCATCTTGTTCTGGAGTGAGATTGGTCTAGGAAATAATGGTGTAGTCTGTGAGGTGTTACCTCCATGGAAGGACCTGCTATGAGTCCTGCTTTCTTCTTGTGCTGTTTAGTTCCTTTATACCCACACCTAAACAACACAAAACAAAAAAATACTTAGGTGTTTTGTGTATCACCAAGGCATACTCATAGATTGAATTTCATTGTCTTCCATGTGAAACTCTTCACCTCATCTGTTTTTCCACTGTATCTTTCACATTAGACCCATTTCAAAGAATCGAGCAAACTAAAAGAAAACAACTTATAAAATCAATAAAGAAGGATGTAGATCAACATAAATTAAAAAAAAAAGAAAGAAAGAAAACCTAGAAACTGTCCCACTTTCCCCCACTAGGAAACCTCTCTGAAACTCAACTCAGTGAAGACAGAGCATTTCTGCCAAGCAGAGGCCAAACCCAAATCACACCCTTTATGCAAAACCAAATCTATTTCAGTGTCCAAATCAGCTTTAAGTCAAAAACAATAAATGGATAGGGAAACTATTCCAAAACCAAGGTGCCACAAAAAACAAACCAACAAAATACCTTCCCAGTGCACCTGCTGGAGATGCCGCGTTACAGGCTCCACATTTCAACCCCAACCTATATTTGATATGGTGTTGTTGCAGCTGTGGGACCAGGGTGGTTTATTTAAGTGGCTCCAAATGCCTGTCAGTGTGGCAACCAGCTGAATACATAAAACAGGCTCTCCAAACCTTTTATGGCCCAGGGTCAGAGTAAATGGAATAATAAAATCCAAATGCTTTTGTCTCATTTTCCATCACCCAGCCCCTCCGCATAAATCTGCAGCTTCGCAGTGACCTTCGCGTTCAGTGCGGGATGAGGCCGCGGTTGGAGATACATTTGGTCTGCATCTTGGGTCTTTAAAAGCTTTTTCCAATTAATTTTAACTGGCTTCCATAAGGATCAAGTACAGCTTCCTCCCCTCCCACAACCCCCCACTCCCACCTTTTTAACCAGCCAGTGACAGAATGCTCTAGAGTCAGACAACAGGTATCAACTCAATTAGGCTCCAAATCACCAAAGACAAAACATGATTCCAAGTTTCAGAATGTCTGAAATAAGAAACCATTTGCAAACCATGGAGACAGGTTTGGGTTTTACTTAGTGGCCTCATCTCTTGCTGCTAACACATCTATACAAAGCAGGAGAAATATTCCCAAGTCGTTCTGAAAACATCCCAATTCGAACTTGAAATCAAGATATTTGTCCTTGGGGTCAGTTGAAGAAACCTCTTGTCTTATCATTTGTGTTGGCATTTTGAGGCACAGAAACAAAAGATGCCCAACCTAAAACACTGGCCATTTGAGTGCTTCAGAAGACGAAGAGAGGAAGAAAGAGAATGAATGGGAGGAATTATGACAGCAGAGCAGGAGGGAATGAAGGACCCCAAATCTGTGACCTGGGACCTTTTCCTGCCATTGACCTTCACTTCTCCCTAAAATAAGGAAAGAAACAAGTAGCACCAGAATGAAGTAATAGGATCACAATTCCTTTTTGTTTCTAAAAAAAGTTTAGTTTAATGCTATATATATATTTACATTGCCATTTTTCGGTGAAGGATATAGGCCTACATAAAGATACAATTCCAGGTCCTCTTAAAGTTGATGGCTACAAAGATGATGGCTACAAAATTTGATTAGAAAATTAACATGGCTAATTTTGAAAAGTATTAAGGAAAGTGCTTTAAAGAACTTTGGACCCTTGCTCCCATCAGCAACTTAGATTCCTAACACTTGCGACTTCATCCTGTTAGACATTTTCCACTTCTATTTTGTCTCTATACAGCTCCTTTTCTTTCCTGTTTCCAAAATTTTATTTCTCTTTCCTGTATCTGCCTTGGCCTTTTCACCATTTATGTTTCCAGGAAAACACAGTGGATTCATAAAAAAGAATACCTCAACACTGAAAATATATTTGTCAAATAATCCATTGTGTTTTATAACCCCATAGAATGTTCTGGAAAACATAGCTCTGTTTTTTGTTGTTGTGTTGTTTGTTTTGGTTTGATCTCCTTTGTTTTGTAAGGATAAAGGGAAACTGAGGAAACTGAGATCCTAAGTCAGCTCAGATCCATACAAGCAGCTCATAGAAGATCTGATGACAGCTCCCACAGCTGCCATGGGTTCCACTCTGATTCTTGCCTGGCACTATGTTGAGGACCATCTGAGCTGAGTTCTTTTAATAATCAGGTTTTCTGTTCAAGAATTCTTCCTCCGGTGCATGGAGCCCAGATCATCCCATTTCATCAATTCCACCCTTAACTGAACTTAAAAATCAGCTAAATTAAAAAGCATGCACTTGAAGTTGACATTCATTGTCACAATGGCTGATGAACTAAATTTAAAAAGGAAATTTGACTCAAGCCTAAAACCAATATCACCCCCACCAGGACCTAAATTTGACATCGTTCACATCATCTAGGTTTGCCTAAGCTGATAGAATCGAAGATATGAAGTGTGTGTGTCAGAGTAAAGATTGCAACATAAATTTTCACAAGTTGATTAAAAGGCTTAGCCCTATGTAAATTAACCTTGGAATTATTTCATAAGTACATCTTTGAGAGTAACAATAATATTCATACTGAAATCAAAAGATGAGGTGCAATACCTAATAGAAAATGATAGACTGAAAAATGGAGCCAACATAATTGCTTCTTTCTTGAGAATTCAACTACATAATGGAATTATGGAACATGATCCTCATCTTCCCACTGAATCTTCCTCATTCAGGTTCAACATGATCGTGGATGATCTCCTTGGGAAAGTTTTTTGGTAGGCAGGCATTAGATTAACTTGTTTCCATTATAGTTTAAAAACTGAGTTTTATTTTTTATTTTCAGAGGTTATTTTTAGGAAAAATGTTATATTGTCCAAAACACACCACTGCAGAACACCAAGGCTAGCTATGTGTTACCATGAACAGAACATGAGATTTCAGTAAACATACTTCTGAGTCCAAAATCCATCTGAGAAACCCTGAACAGACAGAATTACACTCTGATCTTTGGTTTCTTTATCTATAGAATATGGACAATAAAGCAGAATTAAATTTGTCATAAGTATTAAGTGAGATAGCACATTATGAATGGATAGCATGAGTGATGCATGCAGTATAGCAAATATATCCCCTGTATACATGTGAGTGCATGCATGTGAGTACACACACACACACACATTGCATTAGCATGTGTTTTATTATTGTCCTTGGAATGAGGCATTATTTTCCACTTGATATTCAAATAATTATTGGAAGACCTGGACTATTTTCCCAGATTACACACCTAAATCATTCTGTGACCTTTTCTCATAGACCTTCAATATTTCAGGTCTCCTCTGGGTATCTTCTAATTTCCAATATCCTCTGTAAGGATGCTCATATATATTTTTTTGGTGGGGGTGGGGGTACCAGGAATTGAAATCAGGACCACTCAACCACTAAGCAACATCCCAAGCCCTATTTTGTATCTTATTCAGACACAGAGTCTCACTGAGTTTCTTAGTGCCTCACTTTTGCTGAGGCTGGCTTGAACTCACAGTCCTCCTGTCTCAGCTTTCCAAGCTGCTGGGATTACAGATGTGCATCACCGCACCCACCTGAGGATGCACATATAATTTTTAAGCCACAGGCTTAAAAATATGGAGAAATGGGACATTTAGTGCTAAGCCTAGGCTACATCAAAGTCTGGTACATATTTCCCCAAGGAATTGATAATTTAAGGCAATCAGGAGAGTCAACATAATGTCCTTCCTTGGTCATTGCCTGGCTTGGCTGGGGTTGACTTTCCACTCTTTACATTGTATAACCATAAGCAAACTTCTGCCATTTCTATATTTGAAACAATTGAACTCTTGTGGTTCCATACAACGGGATTTGTCAGATGAGCTTTTAATAAGTGAAGTGAAAGGAATGTGTAACAGACAAGCCAAGATTCTTTTGAATCAATCATAGATTTTTGAAATCAAGAACTAAGTCCAAAGCATGAAGCATCATTTGACTGGATTTTTATTTTATAATAATGAGTCCTTCTTCATGGGCTGAGATGATTGTAAATATGCCAGTTGATCCAGGCACAGGGCCTAAGAAAGCATTAGAACCCTTTCAGTATAACTCTGTGCTTGTTCACTAGCTGCTTCTTCAGTGCACAAAATTGAAGTTAGTTCTTTCCTTTTATGACACTGCATGATCCAATATGAACTCTACATGGTACCATAACCTATACCAAGCTAAGAGTTTGTTATGGTAGTTATTTTCATCTTCTTTAAGTCTCCAGATTTGGGGCCACCAAGAGTATCCATCAGGATTTTTGTGTCATCATCAGACCAGAATTGAAACAGAAGCTATCTAATGGCAAGAATCTTTCTCATCAGAGCTCATCTATCCATCCTACGTAAGTCTGGAAACAATGAGTCTGAACTATCTATGTCATCTCTGGTCGTTCCTCTATGTCCCTCTATGTCATCTCATGTTTCCCCCATGTGATCCAGCTGTTCCCACTCTGGGCCACCAATCCACCTCCCCTTAAATTACATAGGCGATCTTACCGCTTGTTCTATTTCTCTTGTAGTCTAGATGGATACTTTCGGAAAAACTGAAGCATGGCTGATTTGTTGTTCCCAGTATCATGATCTGAAACACAGGCATCCAGTAAATGTAGAATGTATGTGTCTGTGTGTGTGTATATATATATACACACACACACTAATAGATATTCCCAAGAACTTAAAGCTAAGAAGGAAACTAAATGCCTACCCAATTCTCATCCTTGGAATGTAAGCTCCAAAAGTTAAGTGCTTTCTTTGTGTGTTTTCCCTAGAAGTACTAGTTAGTCATAGCACATGGGCTCTAGAACTCTCCAAGTAGGCTTTGGGGATTAAAAGCTAGTGCTGGTAAAGTGAAGTAAAAAAGAGGCAGAGCAGGAAGAATGCTGAGGAACAGTTGACAGGTGGGGTGTGACATCAGAGGGATCAACACGACACGTGGTGGACGGATCTGCTTCAGCAAGGGCACTTGTAACCAGGGCCCAAAGATGCAGTCCTGAAAACTCAAGGTAGGGGGAAAAAGAAAACAAAAATACAGACCAAATGAAGCAAAGCAGGTAAGGGTTTTAGAAATACACAGACATGATTCCCAACTACACCACCTTAATCATCACATGTGATCTTAACCTCAACCCCTCCCTCGCTCCCTCCCTCCCTCCTTCCCTCTTCATTGTATGAACTGGTAACAATAAGATGTATCTCACAAGATTTTTATAAGAAGGAATCAAATAAGGCAGGTAATTAACTTGGCAGGAAGAAGGACTTTAATATCATTAGTTTTTAAGGAAAGAATGGATAATGCATGCACGCAGGTAGGACACTGGCAATAGAAACCTGCAAAGCCAAGCCAGACAAGATGTCATCTGTCGTCACAAAGGACAATGGAATATGTGCTTGTGGAGACCAAGGTCTTTGATAAAGCCCTTATATGCTGTCATAAATATTCTTCCTTGTGAAATCAGTCTTTTACAGAGAAACCGACTACAATATTAAACACTGAAGTCCTTGGTTTGAGATGGGCACAGTAAAATTGGATTTTGCAAAATTCATGAAAAAAACAAAATCAAAACCAAAATGGGCTTATTTTCATTAGGATTTAAATTATTAATATATTAAATTAATTATTATTAATTAACAAAATTGTTAATATCTGAACAATAAGACATCTGAATTACTATACATGTCAAACTGAGATGTCAATTTTAAGATACAATATTATTTTACTTGATTAAAAGAAAACAGATAGTTATTCTATGAGCTAACAATTCTGCCAATTAAATTATAGTTGCTATTAGTAAAATACATCTTTTTCAGAGATTTTAAAATATGAACAAAACATGGAATGAAATACAGAATTTGGAATGAAGAATTAGGAAAGATAAGGTGAAGCATTTCATAACCTGTATAGTTTTGAATCCAGCTCTGACTTATGTGTGTGTGTGTGTGCATGTGTGTGTATGTGTGTGAGTGGGTGCGTGCGCATGTGTGTGTGCATTTATATTTACTCCTATAGTTGAGTTTATGTGTTTCAAGACAGAGTCTTGGAGATCTAGTAATGCCCTAAAATTTCTCAGTGCTCACATCTTTCCTTTCCTTTAAGATAAAGAAGAAAAATCTGTCAGCAAATGTTTAGTTATGGTTCCATTTTACTGATCATTTACTTATTTGTTTAATTTTAGGGGATTTATATTGGTTTTAATTTAGGGAAACTTAGAATAAAAATTATTTTTAAAGCACAGAAATGAAAGCACAACATGAAGCCAAAACCTGTAGCATGCTATCAATGCCTTTTTTTTTTCTTAAAATAACCTGCTAGACCCATGAGGGCCTCTGTGAATTTCAGTACCTCATATAAGTTAACCAACATGAGCACTTTTTACTGTGTGAAATATTTTATATGAGTGATCATAGATACACTTTCCCAGTAAGTCTATACAGCAAAGTATTTTAAACTCATTTGCAGAAGAGAAAACTTAAACACAGAGAATTAAATTAAGAGAAAGTAACTCATTTTTCTAAGGTTTTCAAGCAAGCTGTAGCAAAGTGAGTCTTTGAACATTACACCTTGGTGACTTTAAGACTTATGTTCTCTCCACTGCCACCAATAATCCAATGAACTATGAAGGTAGGCACCAATCTCTTTCTGCATCATACCCCTTTAAGTTTCCTTTTCTGAAAGAATCTTCTAAACTTCAACTCTACCCATGGGTGACCCCAAAAGAGAACTGATTGGTTTGCCTATTCTTTCATTCTGGCAAAAGACTTGCTTCGGAAATGGTATATAGATATGTTGAAGAGGCGATGAGCTCATTTATCCACCACAAATTGGTCTGCACTCCTTACTGTCACTATTCCTCATTCAGTCAAGATCAGCTTTATATCATGCAAGAAAGTTCATATTGCATCAGTTTCACAAGAATGCTAAAAAGTCTAATTGAATTGAAACATTTACAATGACATTTTTCTCATTTTTCATAGAAGTTGCTTAAGAAAATAACAGAAGTTGGGCATATTCTTTTGTCAGAAAAAAAGGTAGCTTTTTATTCAGAAAAGTTTCATTAATGTGGACTGCAAATATGGTGAAAAATCAACTGGATTGCAGAAGCATGAAATAAAGGGGCAGCAAGGATGATTGAGGATGTTAGAAGACTCTTACATACTCTGACCATGTGACCTATCAATTGCCCTCTTGATATTAATCCAAATTAACTGAAAAGTTATATACACACAATATAATTTTTAAATTTATTTTTAATTTGTTTTAATTAGTTATACATAACAGTAGAATGTATTTATGCACTTTGATATAACATATATAGATGGGATATAATTTCTCATTTTTCTGAGTGTATACATGTTGCAGAATCACATTGGTCATGCATACATAAAGTAATAATGTCTGTTTTGTTCTACTATCCTCCCTGTCCCCACATTCCTTTCTCCTCCCCTCCCTTCATTTCCCTCTACCTAATCTAAGCTAACTCTACTCTTTTCTAGTGCCCCACAAAAATGTTTACAGCAACTTTATTCATAATTTCCATAACTTTGGCAGCAACTGAGATGTTCTTCAGTAGGTAAATAAACTGGCACATACAAACAATGGAATATTTTTTCAGTACTGAAAAGGAGGCACTATCAAGCCATGGGAAAGTGTGGAAGAAATTTAAATGTATATTACTAAACAAAAGACGTCAACTTAAAAAGGGTACCTACTATATGATTCCAAGCATATGAAATCTGGAAAAGAAAAACTATGAAAATAATAAAAAACAAAACAAAACAAACAACAACAACAACAAAACAAAAAAAAACAGTGGTTTGCCACAAGTTAGGTATAAGGAAGGGATGACTAGGCAGAGCACTGAGAATTTTTAGGGCAGTAAAATTATTCTGGATAATATTATAATGGCAAATACATGACATTATAAATTTGTTAACCTATAGAACATAAAATGTTGAGTGAACCCTAATGGAAACTATGGATTTGAGGAGATGATATGTCAATTGTCAATCAGTTGTAATGAATGCACGAGTCTGATGAGGGGTGTTGATTGAGAGACTGTGCAGGTCGGGAACCAGGAGGTGTATGTTTTCCTCTCAATTTTGCTATGAATCTCAAATAGCTCTAAAAAATAAGGCTGATTAATTAAAGATACAAAATCAAGATTTCTTTTTTTTCTTACTGCAATAAAATAAAAAGTGAAAACAAAATTTTCAAAGTTGATGGGAAAATCTCCTATTGCCTAAGAACGCACTTTGCATTGTGTCTTGTTCCTGCATAAGCAACTGAACATGGTCCCCCAGGTCATCAAATGAGTTGCCCGTCTGCCCTGAAAGCTGTCATCAGGGCATGCCTCTTCAGATGTCTATGGGAGAAGTCAGTGGGGGAGGGGGACTTTCCAGAAGCTGCCCTGGGAACATCTGGCTGCCTGGATCAAGAGTGTTGGCCATTTAAGATCACAGCAAGTGGCCGAGCATCTGGAAAAAGCCCCAGTGGAGCATGGCAAGCATGAGGTGAGACAGGTGACTGCAGGACGGGGAAGGGCCCAAGAGGAATATGAGCAGGGGAGAAGAAGGTTTTACTGAGAGTTGGAGTTGCACTACTTACCAGTAGTCTTAAGTACTGCCTCCCCAACTTCAGCACTCAGGAGGGCAATCTGCTCACCACCCACAGCAAATGGAGGGAGGGTTAGGGACCCTGGGACAAAGACAAGCAGCAGTGCACAGCTCCAAAGAGCCCATGTAAGCAGGGCTTGATTGAGAGCCTTTTCCTCCATCAAATTGAAATTTTATTAGTCAGCCTCCAGATGCTTCTCCTTAAGACAGATTAATATCAAGTTTGTCGTTCCACTTGCAACTGAGGAATGAGAACGACAGTGTTAGAGCCAAACACATGTGAAGTGTTCAAGAGGCCCAGTAGGAAATCTCCTCTGCAAATAATTTATGAGTGAGCTCTGTTCTTTTTTTTGGGTCGGTCACCTTCCACATGCCAGATCAGATAAGAGAGGCTGGGAGACCCTCGGCCTCCCCAAGGCAGTAAACATGAGTTTATTGTCTAGAGACAGCCCAGTGTGGACTACAAAAGGCAGCCCACGCCATCTGGGCCCAGCTATTCTTGAGAAGGTGCAACCTAGCTCAAGAGGAACATCACTGAGCCTGGCTGATATATGGGAACAGAAACAGGACAGAGATTTCTACGAAGAAATCCTAACTACAGAGTTAATGGCTTCCAAATGATAGGGGCCCAGCAGATGATTATGAAATGGGTACCAGCCCACTCGAGAACAGGTGGTAGATATTCAGAAAAATCCCAAAAAGCTATTCCTGTTCTCAATTATCAGGAGAAGGCAAATCTGGCTTAAAAAAAAAAAAAAACTGGGGACATGAAATGGATATAAATGATGGTCATTTTGGTTGTGCTTGTCCCCTCAAAATGACAGAATGTTGATACATCTATGAAATTGTACAGACTGCCCAGGAGTGTAGTCACCACTCCTGAGCCAAGTTCTCCAGGGTTAGGCTCACAATTCCCATACTAAGGACATCAGAATGAGACTTCCCCCTTAAATCTTATCTTGAAGTCAAGCAGAGGGCTCAGGGCCTCCCCCTCTGTCATACCTCCCATGTAGGATGACTCCCCATGGCAAAAGTTCTTGGAAACCAGACCTGGAGATCAGACTCCCTGATAGAGACAGACACTCACCTGAGCACAGCAGGAACCCGCAGCTCATCCAGGTCTCTTTTCTGCACACTACTTGGAGGCTTCCCAGGAACGGCTAGTGATGGAGTGGAGCATTTTCCATTTGGAGAGGTGATTTTTATTATTATTATGGGCTTTTGTCAGTATTACAGAAATTGGGGGGAGAAAAAGAAAAAGGACTAATCACAAACGCTATTTACCAAACCACATTAGTCAAAATACTGCATTTTAAAACCCCTTAAGTTGTTATACATCATCATATAAGTCATCGCCAAGTAGTAATACAAATTCTTGAGAGTTATGTTGACATGGAATTTGTCAGCCGAGTGCTGGAAAATTTACCTCTGCTCATATATCTGTAGTCATATCCTCCAAAGAAATTAACATATCATAATGCTAATATTTCAAGGTAATGTTTTCTCATGAGGATGCCATATTTTATCCGTTAATATCATCTGTGTAAAAACTATTCAATTACGGTATCAAGTCATATATGATTAATATTGATATTGGCACGGCAGCAGTGACTTTGCAAGGCACAAGAGCCATGCAGGCATCTCTACAGAGAACCTAGGACAAGAGATTAATTCATTTCTTCCAAGTAGCTAAAAATGTGAGTTTACTGGGGACTTACACACAGGAAGGAAACTAATAGGCCCACTGAGACTCGGCCATCTTTACTAAGTCTTAGGAGTTCTCTTGAGTCTTGAAGATAGGATAGGGTGGGTACTCTATGAAAACCTGGGATGGGAGAAAGTGGAGTGATGAGTGGGTAGGGGTCCTGTAAAAATGGTGGAGATGAGTAGTCTGCAAAGTATTCCTGGCATGTGATGTGGGAAGTTACAGAAGAAACATCTAGTTGTTTTCTTCCTTGTTGCCTGTTCTTTTAATTTTTGCCATTACTAATTTCTCAATAATGCTGTGGTCTTCTTATGTCTACCAACTTTATCTCTTCTTAAAGTTGCACCATTTGCCCTTGTACTTATACTTTTACACATTCTCTCCTAACTCTAAAAATTGCTCCTGAAATCTCACCTTTTCAGAAGGGTTTTCGGACCACTCTAAAGCTTAACAGAGAGACTGCTTCCTATATAAACCCATCACTCCTTCTCCAACCCCTGGCATTCACTTATAAATTTCCTTGACTGTAATTTAAATTTATCCAAGAAGTATGTGTACATATCCAAGGATTCAGAACCTTGAATTAAAACAACTGAGAAGTTTTATCACTATGTGAGCCAGAAGGTCCCACTTCACTTTATGGCTATGGATGGTACCATTAAGAGTGACTGGCAGTATCATGAGAACCCACACCAGTGATCTTGAAATGAACAGGGCTTAAGAACAGCCTCCATAGTCTGGGTTTTGAACAAAAAGTCATGAGCTAGTAGTTTATTGGTGGGTTGGTGGTGGGTCTGTAGCGTGATCAGAGACATCAGAATGTGAGAAAATGACTTTCATTATGTTAGTGCATCACTGAAAACTAAAACTATCATCTCAAATGACTTCTGGGCTCAGGTAGTTTAGTGTGCTACTCAGTAGGAACTACTATTTTAGATATTAGTTATTTTTTAAACCATATATGAATGGCATAGTATCATGAGAAAATTCTAAGAATTGATGTCTAAACTAGATATCTATGTATAACTTCCTAACTCCATATTGGGCATTCGGTATGATTTATGTCCCTCTTATATGAATCTAGTTTATAATGCTGTCTGTAGAGTTTGCACTTTGCTTCCTCTTCTTCCCCTTCACTATGAGTATTAACAAGCATAGAGTAAAGTAAAATCATCGGACAGTATATAAAGCACCTAGGGTTGAAATAATCTGTACATTTAGTCCATGTCAGTGTTTCCCACAGTGTCTTCAAGAAACACTACCTACTACCACTGCAAACAGGTGTTTGTTGTTTAACAAAAAATATCCAAGCATGATATATACATGTATGAAAATGTTACAATCAAACCCATCCATTCGTACAATCAGTGTGTAATAGTAATTGTAATTTAAAAAGTTAAACAAATATGTGCATTTTAAAAACAAAACAAAACACAAATGTTCTATGATTGAAAAAGTCTTGGAAATGTTGATTAAAGCAGCAATAAAGAAACGGAAGATCCAGAATGACAGAGTGAGAAATCTAGCAAATCCTCTGCCTTAGAAACAATGATAAAACTGACAAAACTCTAAGAACACTATTCCAGTACTGAATAGCAACCAAAGACATCTAACAAATTGAAACTGCATCCCTACACTCTCTGTAGTTGATGGAATACCTGTGTGCAAAGTCTACAGCGCCTATATGACTTCAACAACATTATCAACTACCTTTGCCTAATTGATATCTATAAAATATTATACCCGGTAAATTCTATGCATTTTTTTTAAGTTCTACCATGGAACATTCACCAATATTGACCATATGGTAGATAAGAAACAAGTTTCCATAAGGTTAAAGAGATTAAAAGCACACAAAATGTATTATTTGCCCACAATGACATTCAAATCAAAATCAAAGACAAAAAGGGACTTAAGAGGAATTCCCCAATAGTTGGAAATTGAACATTTTTGGGTCAAAGAATAAATTACAAAGGAAATTAGGAAACATTTTGAATGAATGAAAATAACAACAAAAATAACAAAATATATGGAAGTAGCTACTGTACTGTTTAAAAAAAAAACTCCTGGCTTTTAAGAGCCTATATTAGAAAACAAGAAAAGATTGCAGATCAATACTTAAACTAAGATGATAACAACCTAGAAAAAAATTATCATTCTTAAGTCAAAGCCAGCAGAAAGAAGGAAGTAATAAAGATTAAATTAGAAGCCAATTAAATAAAAAACAGAAACTAAAGTAAAACAAAACAGAAAGTTCTTTTAAAACATCAATAAGATTGATAACATTTTAACTAGAATGTGCAACAAGAGAGAAAAACATAAATTATTAAAATTTTGAAATAAAAGAGGAGCTACCTCTGCCTATCCTATGAATTAAATTTGTTAGTTACTTTACATTAGAATAAGTAAGCAATGTGTGCTGTGAATGGCTAAGGAAATGATAGATTATTGCCCATCTTCCACATTTACTTGACTCATATATGCTATATACACACAGGCACACATATACACATATACACACATGTATAGTTTTTGATTCTTATTTTTTGCATTGCTGGAAATGGAATCTAGGGCCTTGTTCATGTGACTGCTATAAAATTGCGCTGTATCCTCAGACCCTATACATTTTCTCAAACTTTGGTAGTTTCTTGTTTTCAGTTCTGGCCAGCATATGTAAAGTAATTTGTGTTGTTGAGACAATTGAGATACTTCCAAGGGTATAGGGTATTGGGACTTGCCCATATTTCTGGCTTCTCTCTTTCTAGAGGCACGGGCATCACATGATTGTTTGACCAATAGAATGTGAGCAGAGGTAGGACACTTTTTAGCTGGGAACCTTAAAAGACAGTGTGTGTTTCTCCCACTTTTCTTCTTTATCAACAGGACCCTCATGATTTTATCAGCAGATGGTAGTGACCCAGCCTACTGGGATGTCATAGAAACTGGGACAAGAAGAGCACTTCTTTCCCCTGCCAGTGTTCTTGGACATGAGGCATAAGAAAGAAAGAAATCTTAATTTTTTGAAATTCTTGATGATATTGCATTAGTAGCATATCTTAACCTATCCTGACTAATATACTCTCTAAATTTATCCCAACTGTGAAAGATGCTACGTACTATGAGAAAAAAATGTGAGAAGTCATTTTTTATGTAATGTATATCTATCACAAACAATACACTTACACTACTTATAAACCAATTATTTAGAAATTTCTCTCATTCCCCCCAACACACACACACACACAAAAATAAAAACAGAACTTTTACACAACTTGCTTCATTATAAGTCTCTAGTTATGGGGCTGGAGATGTGGCTCAAGCAGTCGCGCGCTTGCCTGGCATACGTGCAGCCCAGGTTCGATCCTCAGCACCACATACAAACAAAGATGTTGTGTCCACTACAAAATAAATATTAAAATTCTCTCTCTCTCTCTCTCTCTCTCT